AATTAGCACAAAATATCGCATTATGTTCTCGGATACTGTATTATAAACTACAATATCTTACCTTATATTATAAGACTTGTATCACAATAACTAAGAGCAGGATATGTCTCAAAATTCATGTACTCTTTAGATAATGGCACTTATGATGGACTCAAATAACTTCTAACCAATGTTTACACGATAGTTAGACCCGTTTAAAAGTCATTAAATAATTACATTCTCAATTAGATTTGTAATTATTATTTAATTATGATTTACAACACATGGATAGCAAACAACTGAATAAATGATTGATAAATACACCAAAATATAATATATATTAAAGACAATTACTGTGTCTCTTATATTTGGCAACACTGAGGCACCAAATGATTAGACATTTGATATGTCATAGGTTTATAGTGGGTTGTTGTAGGAGTTATATTAATGATTTACTAAACAATTGATAATAATTTATACCATTAAATACATTTACGAGCTTAAACCCAAGGATAAGTTACCTGTTTAATATATAAAGTTTAGTTTGTTTAATTACAATTTTTAATAAAATTTATTAATACGGAAGCGACAATTAATATTAATAAATAATACTCAAAATGATAAACGACTAGTACTTTTATTAACTAATTCAATATATACTGTATATTATTATATAATATTATATAAAACAGATCAAAATTAACTCAAAGTAATAACAAGAATATTCTGTCCAAACAAATACTGTGCCCTCAATATGGGTCAGGATTTTAATAAAAAGGTTTGGATTACATATTAATGCTATTATATTTTGTACGGAAATATATATACACAGAATATATAGTGTATTCACTGAATATGACATATATTGAACGGTTAGTCCATTTCTTAAAATGGTATATTCAATTATATATAAAATTTACAAAATAATCAAGATACAATGATATGAAAACTTACTATTGTTGAGCACATATTTGGTTTTGCATATAATCATGGTGAATTTATTTAATTTATGTATTGTGTAATTACGCTATATGATTTATAAAACTAATGTGTTTCTAGTCTAAATATTATTAAATTTTAATACAATTAACCATTTTTAACGGTAAATTTAGAAAATTATATACCGCTATAAATGCATTCTGGTCATACATTCTATATATCTAGAATAAAAATGTTTGCATTAATTGAATTATTTATTTTTAATATTTAAAATGTGTTTTTAATCTGCTTACAGAATATTTCAAGCAAATTAATGTTAGAATACGAGATTTTGTGGGTGTATAAAATTTTAACATAATTAATTTAAGTTATAAATATAAAGTTATAATGTAATGCTTTTAATGTAAAATAAACCAGATTATTTATTGTTTTTATTTACAAATTTAATTGACATAAAATAAGGAATTATTTAATCATAATATTATTAAATATTATCAAAGCATCTAATGATAAATCATAATTGGTTTTTGGCAATATACTATTTTAATAAATATATTAAATAAACATAATAGATAAATATAATAGTAATAAAATAAACAAGTATTTAATTCAAATATTAATATAATTAATATGTTATAACATTTCCATTTTATAGGAATTTTATTTTTATCATAGAAATATTATATGAATTTCCAAATCAAATAACATAAATCAAATGCAAATTTACAATCAAAGCAAAAAATTTCTGTTCAACTCGATCAATTAGATTTATTACGACTAATTAGATTTATTTATTTCCCATGATAAATTAAATATTCAAATCAACCCAATTCATTCTATATAAAATATTTTAGCTATAGATATAATTTGTTTTATTAGCAAAAACACAATTAAATTAATAAAATTTTCGTTTTGTTAAATTTTTGGCAGAAATATTGAATTTGTGCTCATACTGTAAGTTTAATGTCCCTTTTATGTGTTGAGTGAACATAATTTAATTTGTTATAAAGATTTACATACATTCATTCAAATGTTATGTACCAAATTACTATTATTTTGTGCACATTATATTCTATCACTATAATTCTTGTAATCCTGTGTGATAAATTATAATTTATTTTTGAAGTTAAGTTATAAACAAAGTCTACTTTCGACCATCTAATAGAATCTATAATAAAATTAAAGCCTATTAAGCAAACATCAAATGCCGAATTTTAATCTCCAATAATTAAAATTTTATTATTGTTTAAATACATTAATGACAACATATATACGATTCAATACACAACATATGTTTGTGTAATTTTTAATTAATGTTCAATTAATCTCTCTCTCTCTCTCGTCTCCAGCCCTAAGTCTTTATAATAATTTTTGTTTTGATCATCGATTGAGTTATCAATCGTTGCTTTTGGTGTTGAAACTGAATGAGCGTTCAGTGGTGTTCACTGTATGGCAAATATTTCCCATCACTAAAGCATTTATGGTGACAATACTGGGCGCTGTCATCACCTATACTATCATTTTATTACAGTTAACGCCTTGGGTTCAGACCATTTGATTGCCAACCATTTGCCC